ATAAATGATAAATCAAAACAATCTATTACATTAATTAAGTAGATTAGAGTCTACTAAGAAATCCTATTTACTTCAATCAGATTAATAAATGGTCTCATATTTCTTATCACTAAGTTAAGTATATATAATACTACTTAAACTACTAATAATCTAAATTCAACTTAGTGTTGTTTGTCTGAATATTACCATAGATGTTTAGGACTGCAACTGGTCAGTCTCTAATTGACCATATGTGCATATTATGCGTATTACCTCGATATAGACTTAATTCACAAGCATTATAAGCAAAAATGGATAGTGGCTAGCAGTGGAATCCAGGACGTGCGTCCTAAACATCAATGGGAAGATTCAAACAAACAATACTAAATGAATTTAAACTTCATCCCATCGCACAAGCAAGTGGCTATCAGGACTCAGTGGCCTAATGGATAAAGCTATGGCGTTTGAAGCGAAAGTTACTGGGTTGAAGTCCCAGAGTGAACATCAACAAATCTAAAATGCAAGTACATCCATCTGACGAGTCCGAAATAGGACGAAACGCGCGTCAAACTGCATTCCACTACTAGCCACTATCCATCTTTGCTTACAATACTAACAATCTGACTAGAAACATATTTCAATCAAGTTTAAGAATTCACTATATACAATTATCCAATTATCAGAAGGGTTTTTTGTGGAGATTTAGTATATTCATAGTTGAAAGCGTTAGTCAATTGAAGCTAGACTACCAGGGAAAACCTCGATGCGCACTGCCACTGAGGAGTCCCACAGTAGGACAAAACGGCCGTCCAGTGCTTCCAGGTTTTCCCTGATGGTCTAGCTTCAATGGACTCACGCTTTCAACATTTATTCAATTATTTTTCTATTCTATACAATGACATGTATCTTGTTACCTCTTATTTTACTACTCAAATCAGTAGTCACTAACCCCCCCCCCGCTAATTAACATTATTAAGTAAATCAGTAGTATATTAGTAAACTTTTTGACTATAATCAAGTTGATACATGATCAATGGCATCGTAGTGAATCTGATCAACTTGACCCATGATCAAATGAATTATGAAATTCCAAAGGATAGATAGATTTTTCCAGCCCAGATACATCCATACCCCCCATACATGCACACACACACACACAGAGACATGTAAGGGTATACTGGTCATAATGATCATTTTCTTACTTATTTGATTTGATCATAGTTATAAGTAAATTGAAACCGATTTTTAGTTTTTATTCTCCTACCCCACCCACCCATTTTCATATGGTTTTCAGTAAAAAAAAAAAAATAATAATAATTTTAATCACTGTTTATGTTACTAATCAGATTACCATATTGAACCCATCTGTCAATAGATGATATTCTATTGTGTGTCCATTTTATAAAACGCCAGTTACAAAAATAATTTATTGATTCATACCAGTAATACTAGTAATAGTCGTCGTCATCGTCGTCGTCACCGTCATCATCATGACAACTAGAAACCAAGCCTTAGATTATTTAATTTTATGCAATAAGATGTATATATTATTTTGAATATTTGAATATATTGAACAGGAGGATTCAAATTACTTTAAATCATTTACTAACATCATGGATATACTCAATATGTTTTTACTCAGGTTTCTTTAATCTCTACCCTTTCCCTACCCCCCCCTTAGACACACACACACACACACACTTTAAATAGTTTCATCTATAATCATTTATTATAATAATATAGAAATGTGAGAAATATTCATTATACAGCAAGTGAGTAGCTAAGGTACATATACATAGATACACACACACACACATACACATACATACATACAAACATGAATATTTACGTAGTGTATCTGAACAAATTACCATGATGAATGAACAATAATGTCCATTTCTTCAAGTTGCTATGTGACATATGGTTCACGTGTCATTCTTTCACCCCCACCCCCCATTCCTTTTTTTTCCCTTTTTAATATTCTAAATAATATAAAACACGCTAGCTGCATATATAGGCATGACATAAAAGTATTGCCTATTTCATGTTGCTATGCTAATTTTCCCCTTTAAATTGAAACTCGTGAGTAATCTACAATTTGACTATTTGAAAAAGAAAAAGAAAAAAATTTTTTTTTGTATTTTTCTGTCAAAAAATTGTTGCAACCAAAAAAAAAAAAAGGTTTCATTCCCTGGGAAGGAAACAAACAGAGATAATACTCCATCTCAATCACTAAGGTGAAATGGTTATTCATGATTAAAATTAAGGGAACATATTATAGGAATATAGATTCACGTGTGTAGTTTTAGTGTTTATGTTCCTAAGAGGAAATATATATTGGGAGTATCATATTATAAAGTGGAATATATACATAATATGAGTTTGTTGGTTAGTTGTCTAAGTTACTGTTGTATGAATATTTAATAACTTACTGTTATTACAACATATGCTGAGGAGTCCTAAAATAGGACGAAACGGTCGTTAAACAGTGCTTTCAGGTTTTCCATGATGGTCTAGCTTCAAATGATTGATGATTTCAACTATGAAAATATATATCTATGTCATATTTATTTTGTAGATTGGTTGAAGTTAGATATTGACACCAGTGGATGTCGGTTCAAAGGTCTAGTGGTTAAGTGCTTGAGTGTGAGACTGATAGGTCCTGGGTTTGAATCTTGTAAGGCGGGATCGTGGATGTGCACTGCTGAGGAGTCCTACAATAGGAAGAAACGGTCGTTCAGTAATTTCAGGTTTTCCATAGTGATCTAGCTTCAATTGAATCACAACCTCAACTATATCATATTTAATTATATAAACACATAAATATTGGTACAAACGGTCACCAGATATATATAAGCCGCACAAATAGCATTTGATTTGTGTAAGGGCTGTGATACTGCCTGGGTGTTCAAACTGAAACAGGTGGTTTTCTTAGGGGACCACACCCACATACTTTGACCTAAAGATCTGATCCATAAGGCAGTGGAGCATCGTAAGGAGATGCAGTCCCATGGTAGTCGGTGACCAATGATTGATTCATACGCCATTTTTTCCCTCAGGATACTGGAGCCCATGCGCATCAGTGGTTTGGAATCAAGGTTTTCCAACTCCCCTAGGTGTGAACTTTCGGTGACCACCAACCCGGTTAAAGCGCCGGACAATCGATTTACGTCCCCTCAATTTCGTAAACAACAGTAATGTCACCAGAAGGCAGTGAGTAGGACTTCCCTGACAGAGGCTATATACGCGTGACCATGTGAGAGTATTTCGAGAGCGAGAGCGTACTCTCTCCACTCTCAGCCGTACCAAGGCATTTGGGGGCTGAACATTACTTCGGATCCCAAAACCAACAAAATAGAACCGAAGTCCAATTTCATTATTCCAAGCTAAAATTTTCAGACACACAGGCCTGATTTGAGTACTCAAATTTGTTTAAAGTAAAGGTGACGTCCGCTCCCGACACCCGTTCAAGAGCATCCGGAAGCATGCTGACAGGTCATAAGTAGAATGTTATTAGAAAATATATGACATTAGTAAAAATATTTGAAGCTTCAGAGTTCGTTCCTGTGTATGGAATTAGGATTTCATACTGTTAATCAATCATATTTAAGTGGAACGTTTAATAATCCTTAGTTTCCAGTCATTTTCCAGCTGATATTTGAAACTGAATGATAAAAATGATTTCTCAACTAGATACATCTCGATGAAATAATGATCTTGAATTAACTTGATATTGTTGACTTGAATCTTCCTATTGATGTTTAGGAATGCAATTGATCAATCTCTTATTAGTATATATGCATACTGTGCCTATTGCCAGAGTGAACATCAACTCTGAAATGCAGATACATCTAGCTGATGAGTCCCTAATAGGACGAAACGCGCGTCAAACTGCATTCCACTGCTAGCCACTATCCATTTTTGCTTATAATGCTAGTGAATTAAGGCTATATCAAGGCAATACGCACAATATGCACATATGCCAATTAGAGACTGACCAGTTGCAGTCCTAAACATCAATGGGAAGATTCAAATAAACATTACTAAGTGAATTTAAACTTCACCCCATTGCACAAGCAAGTGACCATCAGGACTCAGTAGCTGAGTAAATAACGTGATGACGTTTGAATCGAAAGTTACTGGGTTCGAGTCCCAGAGTGAACATCAACAAATCTGAGATGCAGGTACATCCATCTGACGAGTCCGAAATAGGACGAAACGCGCTTTGTCGTGGATTCCACTGTTACCCACAATCCATCATTGCTAGTCATTTTTGGCAATAATTCTACACATGATCATCAATTTCTTTTTCATAATCATTCGAAATGAAATTATACTAGCATGAAGTAATCAATACAGAAAAATTAGCATTATCATCACTGAATGAGTAGATATACACTAATGGCTTTCAATTGTTCAACATTTAAAGGATTACAACATTTTAATAGTTGAATTCATGAGTCAATTTAAGCTAGATCATCGTTAAAAACCTCAAAGCCTTGAACGATCGTTTCATCCTACTATAGGATTCTTCAGTAGTGTACAAAATCATGTATCGATTCAAGTTAGACATTAACACCATTGTATGCTGACCAACTCAGTAATCTAGAGGTTAAGCGTTCGCACGTTTGACCGAATATCCTGCTTTTCAGTCCCACATATGAGATCATGAATACTCACCTCCTGAAGAGTCCCATACTAAGACGAAACGATCATCTAATCCTTCCAGATTATCAATAATATAAATATATATAAAATAACCAAACAATAGAATCCTATTTTATATTGTTGTTATCATAATCACTACTCTTATTCATTATTATCTACTATTATTTTTATATCTATTAACTATGACAACATAAGAGGTGTGTATGTGGGGGGGAAGGGGTGTTTTGGAGATGAATAGATCCAATGAAAGGAACAGTGAATACAGTTATTCATTAACTATCTAATTGTTTTAAATAACTAACTCATAAAATGAATCATTTAAATGGGTTATTTTTCCACCTTTTTTCTTTGTTTTAAAAAACAAACAATGATACATTAAATGCGTTAAAACAAAATTGACATTGATATTGAATGTAATTCATTAAATAGTTGGGAAAGTGTTGGTTATTGTTACTTAGATTATGGATGATGATTATTAAGTTGAATAATGTTGTTGAATTGTTTTCTATTGTTTCTTGTTCGACAGATGATGTAATAATAATAGTAATAGTAGTGGTACTTATAGTAGTAGTAGTAGTAGTAGTAGTAGTAGTAGTAGTAGTAACAGTAGTAGTAGTAGTAACAGTAGTAGTAGTAGTAGTCGTAGTAACAGTAGTAGTAGTAGTAGTAGTAGTAGTAGTAGTAGTAGTAACAGTAGTAACAGTAGTAGTAGTAGTAGTAGTAGTAGTAGCAGTAGTAGTACTAGTAGTAGTAGTAGCAGTAGTAGTACTAGTAGTAGTAGTAGTAGTAGTAGTAGTAGTAGTAGTAGTAGTAGTAGTAGTAGTAGTAGTAGTAGTAGTAGTAGTAGTAGTAGTAGTTACATACTTACGCTTCTGTGGACAGCATTAGAGCAACTCGTTGAGTGTGAGAAGCATTTTCCCCTTCGTGACCGGAATACAACAGCATCTCTTCCGTACCTAGAATTTGTTGTCCAGTTTGTGTCCAATGGGTTTCGCGGATTCCGAGTACTGCCAAATTGTATCTCCTCATTTCCATTGATATTTGACTGGTCTTCCCTGTCTTCCACATTGTCCGGACGTTTCATGTACCTATAAAGATTGTTTATCTGGTTATTAGAAGGTGCATCGGTCTCGAACCACCAACGATCGAAGAAGTCAAGATGGCCATCAGACAAATCAAAAGTGGGAAGGCGGCAGGACCTGACAATATACCAGCAGAAGCACTGAAGTCAGACATTGAAATAACTGCAAATATGCTTCACCTTCTATTCAAGAAGATTTGGGAAGAGGAACAAGTGCCAACGGACTGGAAAGAAGGATATCTCATCAAGATACCAAAGAAAGGAGATCTGAGCAAATGTGAGAACTACAGAGGCATCAGTTTGTTATCAGTACCAGGAAAAGTTTTCAACAGAGTGCTGCTGAATCGGATGAAAGACGCAGTAGACGCTGAACTTAGGGATCATCAGGCTGGATTCCGTAAGGATCGGTCGTGCACAGACCAGATTGCGACACTACGGATCATCGTTGAACAATCAGTTGAGTGGAACTCATCACTATACGTCAACTTCATTGACTATGAGAAGGCGTTTGACAGCGTGGACAGGAGAACATTATGGAAACTTCTTCGACACTATGGAGTTCCTGAAAAGATTGTCAACATTATCCAAAACTCATACGATGGACTACAGTGCAAAGTGGTGCATGGAGGACAGCTGACAGATGCATTTCCAGTAAGGACCGGAGTCAGACAAGGCTGTCTACTCTCCCCATTCCTCTTCCTTCTATTGATTGACTGGATTATGAAGAATTCGACATCTGACGGAAAATACGGAATACAATGGACTTCTCAAAATCAATTAGATGATTTGGACTTCGCAGATAACCAAGCCCTCCTCTCTCATACACACGACCAAATGCAGATGAAGACAGCAAATGTAGCAGCAGCCTCCGCATCGATAGGTCTCCACATTCACAAAGGAAAAAGCAAGATTCTCAAATGCAACACAGAGAACACCAACCCAATCACACTTGATGGCGAAACTCTGGAAGAGGTGGAAACATTCACGTACCTGGGGAGCATCGTTGATAATCAAGGGGGATCGGATGCAGATGTAAAGGCGATGATTGGCAAAGCAAGGGCAGCATTTCTACAATTGAAGAACATATGGAACTCAAAACAACTCTCAACCAATTTCAAGGTCAGAATCTTTAATACGAACGTCAAGACAGTCCTACTGTACGGAGCTGAAACGTGGAGAACTACTACGGCCATCATCAGGAAGGTACAAGTATTTATAAACAATTGTCTACGCAAAATATTCAACATCCACTGGCCGGATACTATCAGCAACAGCGTTTTATGGGAGAGGACAAATCGCTTCCAGCTGAAGAGGAAATTAGGAAAAGACGTTGGAAGTGGATCGGACATACATTGAGGAAATCACCAATGTGCATCACGACTCAATCCCTAACTTGGAATCCGGAAGGGAAGCGGAAGAGAGGAAGGCCAAAGAACACACTACGCCGGGAAATAGAAGCCGATATGAAAAGGCTGAATAGCAACTGGAAAGAACTGGAAAGGAAGGCTCAGGACAGAGTTGGATGGAGAATGCTGGTGAGCGGCCTATGTTCCTCGACGAGGGGTAACAGGCGTAAGTAAGTAAGTAAGCATCGGTCTCGTGACTTCAGAAAAATTTAGACTTTCATCATGAGGCGTCATAATTATTCCTTCAACTCCCAGGGCAGAGTTTAAATGGTTTGAATTATTTTTTCTGGTTAACGTTTTTTAGCGAGTTAGCTTTTCTACGGGATGGGTTCGGTAACCACATGCCCAACCCTCCTCCTTTACCCAGGCTTGGAACCGGCAATAGTTCCCAGAGGAGTTACAGGTGAAGTTTATAAGCCGAAAAACTGAAAAACATCTGGAACTCAAAACAATGGTCAACCAACATCAAGGCTAGAATTTTCAATACAAATGTCAAGACAGTTCTACTGTATGGGGCGGAGACGTGGAGAACTACGAAAGCCATTATCCAGAAGATACAAGTGTTTATTAACAGCTGTCTACGCAAGATACTTCGGATCCATTGGCCAGACACTATCAGTAACATTCTACTGTGGGAGCGAACAAACAAGATTTCAGTGGAGGAAGAAATCAAGAAGAAGCACTAGAAGAGGATTGGACACACTTGAAGGATATCACCCGAATGTGTCACAAGACAAGCTCTCACATGGAATCTTGAAGGCCAAAGGAGAAGAGGAAGACCAAAGAACACACAAATGGAGACAGATATGAGAAGAATGAACAAAAGTTGGATAGAACCAGAAAGGAAGGTTTAGGACAGAGTAGGTTGAAGAATGCTGGTCGGAAACCCTATGCTCCATTGGGAGTAACAGGCGTAAGCAAGTAAGTAAGTAAGTAATAGTAATAGTAATAGTAGTAGTAGTAGTAATAACAGCAGTAGCGGTAATAATAGTAGTAGTGACAGTATTAGTAGTAGTATTGATAGTAGTAGTAGTAGTTCTTGGTTCGATACCCAATGATGACATCCTGAATGTATACTGCTAAGTAATTTTATACTAGAATGACAAAACTGTTCAATGATTGGTTAGCTTGAATTGGTTCATGATCCTAATAATATTCAACAATCTCCATAATCTTCGTCCTGATAATGGGAAAAAGATTCCTTCATGTTTGGATCATATTTGAATGTACTTTTATAGTATCGATTATGTGCAATGGGACATTACATAATAATGAAAAGTGTTATTTGATAGGAAATGCCACAAAAGCCAATTTAGCCATTGTTCAAAACAGGGTATCATTTTTAAGATTGTTTCAGTCTTACATACATTCTTACCTACATACTTACACTTGTCATCAACCCTCGTGGAGGAGCATAGACCACCACCGGCACTCTCCATCTAACCTTGTTCTGGGAAATATTTTCCAGTTGCTATTCATCCTTTTCATATCTACTTATAATTCTCGATGCAGTATGTTCTTCGGTCTTCCACTTTCCCATTCCCTTTCAGAATTCCAAGTAAACATTTGCCTCGTGATGCAGTTTGGTGATTTCCGTAGTGTATGTCCTATCGATTTCCAATGACTTGTTCTAATTTCCTCCTCAGCTGGAAGTAGGTTTATTCTCTCTCACAGTAAGTTGTTGTTGTTGATGGTCCGGTCAACGGATATTCAGTAACTTACATAGACAATTGTTTGATAAATACTTGTACTATTTTGATGATGTTTGTGGTAGTTCTCTAGGTGTCAGCTCCGTACAATAAAACTAACTGTCTTAACGTTGATATTCAAGATTGTGACTTTGATATTGGTTGACAGTTGTTTTGAGTTCCAGATATTCTCCAATTGTAGGAATGCAGCCCTTGCTTTAATAATCCTCGCCTTTACGTCTGCATCGCATCCTCCTTGTTTATCGATGATGCTACCCAGATACATGAAACTTTCCCCACGTCCAATGTTTCTCGATCAAATGTGATTATGTTTGTGTTGTCAGGATTTTGGTTTTTCCCTTGTAAATGTTGAGGCCTACTTATACAGAGACTGACACTACACTACTTGTCTTCATCTGCATTCGTTGATGTGTATGGAATAGAATGGTCAGTTCAAAGGATTATTTTCTTAAAATGTTCCAGTCACTTTGACCAAATTGTAGTACTGTATGCTCTAATCAAGTCATCCGTATTGTTAGCATTATTCTTACCGTTTAGTATTAACTGACTTAAGACTGAGAGAAAGCAAAACACGCAGGAATCAAATACACGAGTACCCTCATATGGTAAAAGATGAATCCAATTTCACTGACAAAATTCCCTTAAACTGTAAAGTGTTTGTAGATTCTATCGGAGTAGTCCTACTCAGTGCTTCCTAATGGTAGGGGCAGATTCTTACAAAAACGTTTGTTACTTAAACCGGGTTAGTAAATGATAAAGATCCACCATCTAATGATGTTAATTCAATCTGATTCCAACCCAATGGTGCACATGAACTAGAAAATCTTCATGGAACATTAACCCATATTGGACCACATTTTTTGACATTTGTTTTACTTTCACATCGAAAGCCATCATCCAGAAGATACAGGTATTTATTAACAGTTGTCTACGCAAGATACTTCGGATCCGTTGGCCAGACATTATCAGCAACAACCTACTGTGAGAGAGAACAAACAAGATTCGAGTGGAGGAAGAAATCAGGAAGAAGCGATGCAAAAGGATAGGACACATATTGAGGAAACCACTCAACTACATCACAAGGCAAGCCTTCACATGGAATCCTGAAGGTCAAAGGAAAAGAGGAAGACCAAAGAACACATTACACCGAGAAATGGAGACAGACATGAGAAGAATGAACAAAAAATGGATAGAACTAGAAAGGAAGGTCCAGGACAGAGTGGGTTGGAGAATGGTGGTCGACGGCCTATGCTCCATTGAAAGTAACAGGCGTAAGTAAGTAAGTAAGTTCACTTTCTCATTGACTAGACATTTAGACTAAATGCTCATGGAAAAGTCTTTTTAGAAAAACTCTAACTCTGGTTTGGACTATCGATCAGTATCCTATCTCATGTACAAATATGATACTTAGTAATCTTGAAGAAACCAACTATTCATTCTGCATACTTCATAAATGCATAGATCGGGTAGTATGTTCATCTAAAAGATAAAGAAGTGAAAACTAGACTATAAAGGTGAATGATGCTAGTTCGAATCCTACAGGAAGTATCAATTCTTCCGAGATACCATTGTTAATGAGCATCAACCAGTACGAAATGTATGAAGAACTGAATTTCCTCCTGATTACTTCCAGTCACTTAGCGTTTAAACAATCTAAATAATATCGAGTCATTTAGACTAATGGCCTCTAAAAGACAAATAAGATATACTAATCACTACTTGTTGATCTGTTATTATCAACTAACGTTTTCAGTCAGAAGGGGTTTTGTGAAGATTTCAGTATTTTCATAGTTGAAATCATGAGTCAATTGAAGCTAGACCACCACAGAAATCCTGGAAGCACTGGACGGTCGTTTTGTCCTATTATAGGACTCCTCAGCAATTGGTGAACGGTTGCTCAATTTCGTGGATTGGTTGACGTTAGACATTAACACCTTTGAATGCCGGCTCAGTAGCTCGTGCTCTGGTGGCAGGTTCTGGGTTCGAATCTGGCGAGGTGGGATCGTGGATGTGCACTGCTGATGAGTTCTACAATAGGACGAAACGGCCATCCAGTACTTCCAGGTTTCCTATGATGATCTAGCTTCAATAGACTCATGATTTCAACTATGATAATGTTTTCAGTGTTAATTTCATACTATATATCTCCCTTATCTCTATCGTCTCAATTATGTTCTAAAAAAATAATTCCTTAACATTAAAAATTTTTTTTTAATATTTTCAACTTGAATAAAGGTAGGGGTTACTTCATATGATTGATCAAAGTTATTTTTTTTGTGTTTTTTTTCTTTGCTTTCTCCTTCCTTAACGGATATTATTTACCAGGGTATGCTCTCCACCAACCCCCTTCCATGGAACCTTTACATCTCCTCACATATACACACACTGACAAAGATACATAATTATATATATAATTTCTTTATCTATTCGATTACTCACTTTTAATATTTGAATCCGTAACTGAGGTTTCAATCATTTCAAGGTGACATTGTGTAACATTAAATTCAAATCGGTCAGTTAGAACAACAAGATTAACTTCCGTCGCCTTCATTCTCCTTCTGTTTTTTTTTCTTTGCCCCTACCTTCTTATATATATATATAATGGTCATTGACTTCACTAACTCATTCATTCAATTGACAGATTATCTAATTATTTTTTATATAAGAAAAGAAAAAAAGGAAGGGGTAGGGAAGAGTGGGAACATAAAGAATAGGGTATAAAAATGTGGTTTATGTCACCCCTTATCTTCATTAGATGATATGAACAGTTAAGGACAAGCCTTTACAGTGATCATTGGACATTATATATACATGTATAGAGTACATAATGGATATGGATAATCATATTAAATAAGCGTGTCCAAGATTAACGTCTGTCATTCGAATGGATGCATGAATGACACGTGTGTTATACGAATGATTTAGTCTACTTATATATATATATCCAACTAGTTTCATACAACTACAACTACTACTATCAAATACATCTGGTCTATTAAGGATCTATTGAAGATTTTAACAGAAAATACAGAAAGAGATAATAACAACACCATCAACGTCGACAACAACCATGAATTGGATCTTCCCATCTGTTCTAGTTTATCATTTCACATAAATTATATAATTCTTATTTCATTTAGACTGAGTGTGTGTGTGTGTGTGTTGGGTGGGGGGCTGTTGAATTCAAGTGGAAACATTGTACATTGGACATGGCAACTTGAACCGATGGATAATTGTATGTGTCTGGTCTTACATTGTAGCTGACTGACTGACCGACTATACATGTCATTTAATTTGTATAAATGCCTTAGGCAAAACAATAACAACAACAACGATACCGTGAATACAATTATGTATAATTGAAAGCTGGTCAGTTAGATACCAAAATGAAGAGTTTTTTTTTTCTTTCTAGTACTTTAGATTCAAGATGATTACGTAATATCTTAACTGATTGATTTGTTTTATACTAAATAATATAGTTACTGTTGGGATCTGTAAGGATGATTCGTTGGCAAACTGAAGGTGGTTTCAAGAAGCTCCAGAAAGAGCCGAAGACATTCCATTCAATCACTACTAGGGGAACTTCCTAGATATAACAGGATTCATTCATGGACTAATACTATACATATATGCTTATTGTGTAATTGTTAAGTAGTTAAACTATGTATATTCATATTCCTTTTATTATCAGCTTGAATTTGACCCATAGACTATTATTATACGATTTAACATTCTTGAGTTATGCCCTGTCTATCAATTACTGTCTCCCATATTCACAGCCACTTTTGGCTGTATCCTGTACAAATGTTGTGTTTCTAATTTGTGGTGTGATACGATCTGTTTGGCTGGTATATAAACCAAGTATAACAACGGCTGAGATTTGTGTTCTGGACTCATCAAGAAGGTCTAGGCAGAAAAAAGTACCGATAAGGAATTTCTACTGTTCGTACAGGTTATATACTTCATTGGACCGATCGATAATTTATTGTTCTCTAATTGGCGGTATCATTATATCATATACAAGGCCACAAGTTATAACAGCTTATGTATTGACTATGAGAACAATAGTTTTTTTTTCTAAATTTCATGGTGAAATGTATTACAAGAACCTTACATCATAAAGAAAACAAGTTAATGAGGAACTGTGATGATTTCTTTAATTTCCCCGCCATGGATCATGCGAGAGGGATCGTGAGTGCGCACAGCTGAGGAGTTACATACTAGATAGAAACGGTCGTTCAGTACTTCCACGTTTTCCATGATGTTCCAGCTTCAATTGACTCATGAATTCAACTATGAAATCACTAAAATCTCCATGAAAAACCCCTTCTGATAATGATCATATGCTCACTAGTGACTGGCTCCATGAGGTATTTCCTGGAGTTCTAGTGAGAAGCAATAACCAGTGGAGTTTAACCAATTCTGTTGGGAGATATCAACTCATTGAAGACATTGGTGAAATGATTGCTTAATTTCGTGGATTAGTTAAAGTTGAACATTAACACTGCTAGATGCCTGCTCAGTGGTCTATTGGTCAAGTGTTCCCATGCAAAACTGGTAGATCTTGGGTTCGAATCTAGCGAGGTGAGATCGTGGATGCGCACTGCCATTAAGGAGTCTTACAATAGGAC